TGTCACTCAGCAACTGCCATCGTTAGTACAAGCGACTGAAGTGGATTCTATGAGAGGAACCGCTGAAGTCACGCATCTCGACACTGTCCGGAGTACAGATATCCGTAAGAGCCTCGGTGTATAGCCGCTGCTCTCTAGAGTTAGCTGTCACAGCTGCCATAGTTTGAGTATGTTTTGTAAAAACTTCCAGACGCAATGGCGAGACAGCTGCTGCTCGCTCCTTGGATAAATAATGCTCGATATTCAGGTTATTATCTGCGGAAGCTCTAACGCTGACACAGGATCAAAACGTTTGAGATACTGTATGACGCTTCTGCCTCGGCGATCCGAAAGGATAGACGGTCTAAGTCGAAATCGACTGATGATGATGATGATGTTTCCATAAATTTGATCATCACTTCTTGACGATAAAACTTCATAAGATTTTGTACAAATATGACCATGCTCAGAAAAAGTTAGACATGTGTCCCTTTGGAAAATTTAAATCCTTTATTTTCAGCGGTATAACTGTACTGTTAAAAGTTTCTACAAAAGCTGAACTAGAACGGCTTTATCATTAGCTATCAGGATCGGTGTTGACCTCATAGCAATAAGGCTGGCTTCGTTGTACGGCTTAGAAGCGAATAGTCTACAACGGCGCTGCTTGCGGACGCATACTGGATATCTGTTGGTATGGTACTACCTCATGTTTGCGTTAGGTGACCTCACAAACGTGTAACGGGTAATCAGAGACAGACGTATGGCATGGTTTGATTCTTTGAGACGGCATCCAAGGTGCTGTAGCTCTTCTACTGCTGAAATACAGTTTTCTGAGCACCAAGAACAGCCGATCTGTGACCAGTAGAGAAAACTTAGCGCAGATTCGTCGTCGATGTAGAATCCGCTTTTTTTCAGCGCCGTCAACACCTTGTAATCCTCAATATGCGAAATGTTGAAATGAACAAATATCATGTGGAGCTTTCAGTCTCGCTGAACGGCGAAAGATGACGCTGATAAAACAAAACAAAAGTACGCAAAGCGTACTTAACTTCGACATATTAATGTTTGACAGATTTTCCGCTTCATTGTGCATTGCAAAATCTGTTCTGTGTTGTTGATTGTCACTCCGACTCTGAACGGGAGCGAATTGATTATTCAGTACCGGTTTGGCGTTCATCTGGAATTTAAGATAAATCATTAATTTTATAAATTTCACCCTGTCGTTTTAGGGCAAGCTTCTTGGTGATCCGTGGCCTTACATTATGGATATGTTAACGCATGTTAGCAGCCATGAAGCGTTCATTGTTTTGTGTGAAATTTGGAGATATTTTCAAGTAAACAGTTATGCTTCGCTTTAATACATTTTACATGTTAACAAATTTAAGGATGCCTTGCCAGATATGAGAACCCTGCAACAGACTTTCGAAGTGACGCAGCTTCAGCTACGGGACGTAGAACCTTTGAAAGGTGATTAACAGTATATTTTCAATGTTAAGAATTAGAGTGAGCATATATTGTGTAATTAAGTTTATATCAATTGATGCGTTACTCCTCCAAGGACAGATTTCATTGCGTGTTGCATTATCCTTACTCCAGGTTCCCTAAGGGGGCGGTCATTTAAGCAGCTCACGGCTACATGGCATTTAAGCACCTGCAGAGCCAGATGTCTCACGTCATTTTCTTTCGTAAACCCACATCGCGCTTATCACGAGCCATGTTTAGGAGCGGGTACGCTGCATAAGAATCAAAGTATTCGCATGTTGAATAAAGCATAGCTTTTCAAAGATTAAATTGTAGTAATGAAGTATAGAGACAAACCGTACCTTTAATTGACATGACCTTCCTGCGCAGTCTTATGGCTGCATTGGCGATGTATTTTGTCTTGGATGTAAGCCGTTCTGGGTTACCTTATCTGCGTAACCGTTCCGCCACCGGTCTACGATGGCCTGAACAGACTCAAAATCAGTCTAAATATCCTGGCATGAGTGCTGTCTTAGCGTCAGTTGTCCCCTACATCGAAGCGGTACGAAGGATTAAAAGAAAACGATTTTGCCACCTGCTGCTACACCTTTTAGAACTAGAATCACTGACTGAGGCCAGAACTCGAACGTATAGTAAAAATTTATAATAGTTTAACAAGTTCCAGTCCTGGTAGCATTCCAGCAGGGTTGTAAAAAATTATCGACTACAGTTTGGTGACGTTATGTGAACTAATGAGAGTACTTGTTGTTGTCATCACCCATTAGCAAGGGCTCTCTTACTAAATGTTTAACCGTAAGGCAATTTCGTTCGTCCCCCTTGTTGATAGTATTTTGCCGTCAGCAGTTCTGCATATAATGCGCCAGAACTGGGAGATCTGAGTCAGAGACAGCCATCCAAGCTATATTCATGAGAGGAAAGTAGAATCATGTATAGTAAGAGTTGCATATGTAATCACAACTAGCCAGAATATATTTGGCCATAACGTTTGCGTCTGCTTTCAGTGAACCCTGAACCGTATCTCAACAGAGTGCGCCCCGTGTTGCAGGCAAACATTGCAACATTAGGCGGTTTGTATCGTATATTGTTTAGGCCATGAACATGCATTTATGTATTATATCTTTTTGATTGATCGATTGTTACTTGTCTATTACTTTCCGGTTGTTATACTTGATTCGCTCTTTCTCTTGAACTCTATGGAATATGCATAAAGAAGAAAAAGTTTCGTTTCGAATGGTAGGAAATTAGCATTTTTAGATCACTTCGTTCCACCCCATTTTACACTGACTGCTCCTTTCATTTGCTCATCGCATTCAGCTTTAAAGCATGTTGCATGATATGTTAATTTGTTCCATAATGATGATTTGCGTATGCTTGCGTTTGAAACGGGTAGCCCTTTTCAAGAAAATCGCCTGTACCTGGCCTTTCCCAGATCCGTGTTTTACCGCATGGAGACAGCTGTTCTAACAAAAGAGCAGTAAAGACGGTTTAACAATAAGCAGCAACGTTGGCCTCGACACATAATGATAACTGAATCGTAGGAGAGCGTAAGGAATGGCACGACGAAATTCTGTTTGGAGCATATGCGACTGCAGCAGATGTAAAGATTAAGAAAATCAGATTCGAAATGTTAGACAAATTGGTTGAGAAAAAATCTTTTACTTCAGCCCAGAAGATTTTCGTGTTTGAGCCAAAACACGGCGGACGATGGTGGCTTGGAACCTGGAGAAACAACTAAGAAGCAGATCTGCTTTGCGACAGGAATATTTCTCTGTGCGATAAAGTAATTGGTCTACTTTTAATTTGTTATTAGAAATAATGTAAGATTACCTCCACAGCAGACGTTCTTCTTCAAACTGCTCATGCTGATAGTTACACACATCGGGAAATCAATTTCCTTTATTCACAGGCCAACTTTAAAAATCTATGAGCCTATTCGCTCAATGACTGGTGACGTTGCATAGTCCCCATTGTTCTTAGGTAACAACTTAATTTTTTACTGCAGAGTAGAAACCCGCTAATCACTAATCGATAAACATTCATGTATAGAAAAGACTCGATGACAAACGATCATAGAAAGCACCAAAAGATGATGTTGTAGAGAATGGGTGACTGATTTTCGACGACTGGTCATGGCTTGAGTTTGAAGACTTAGTTGCGCTGGAAGTTGATTCTAAATCTATTTTCTTTTCGCTGCAACATTCACCGACGAATAAGAGTGGAAACGAAGCAGGCGATGAGCGAACAGTGATGGGCAATGGTTTTTCAAGTAAATCAGGCTTTGAAGATTGTGTACGCCATGTAATTTTTCTGCTGTCCACAATGATCGCACTGAACAACGTCTAAACCAAGAATTTAGAAATACAGTATTACGAATAGTAAAGTAATAAAATCGGTTTGAAGGCGAGTCGTCTCCAACTTTCATCGTAATTAAATGCGTTGGAGACTGGATCGGCTAGATAAATCACCGTTTTAACGCAATATTTTACCAGTGGAAGCTACAGCCAAACCCGTCGAAAACGGACGACAGTCCACAGACCACTGACTAGCCAAAGAGAAACTCAAAGTTGAGTGCTGTGATCAACGCATGCAACACAAAATGACGCCAAATTATCTCGGCTTTACGACAAAGCAGAAGATTAATCGACAATAAATCTGTTACGAAACGTTACCGGTATCTCATGGGGTACGAAAGCCGGAGTAGTGCTAACAACGGCCCTATCGCTTGTGTACTCTGTCGAGAAGAATTGTTCCCCTGTTTGGAACTACAGCTACCACAGAGGAAAGTAGACACGCCGCTCAATGAATATGAACCGTGAAACCAACTAAACGCAGTAGTTACCGATTCTCGTGTAACTGAACCCTCTCACTTCCACAGGGAAGAACAGGAGTTTTGCGTTTATCGGAACATTGATACAAATTACCAAGTTTCTATGCGTCCTGTTTTTCAACAGTCGCTGATATGACGTCTGAAATCACTCCACCCACTATGGAATGAATGAGTCTCGAGGAACAGTGACGAGCAGGGTGGGAAGATACAGTCGCTCAAAACAGATCTTAAAGCCGATTACAGCACCTCATAGCTGGACTTGGCTCGTCAAGGATACTTGAAGATATACTGGATTCTGACAGGAAAGGGATGATACGGATATCTTAACTGTTTGAAGATGACGTTCGGTTAGCAGTGTGGAGATTGACGACCGCATAACTGATGTCAAGAATGTTAGTACGGCGGCCGTTTATTGGTTGAGAAATCTTGACATCCAAATATGAAGTTGTTTTTCACCCCCGCCCCGAGCCATATGACGAGATGAAGAATGCATAAGTTTATGTACACAAATAAAGTTGCGCGTTTTCAAAACTTTAGAGCAGACTTCAGGATCACCGGTTTCTATTACTTCAGGTACTGCTGAAGCGGACACGGGGTGACTGTTTCAGAATCTACCATAAAACAAATGGCAATTACCCCAGCAGTTCATAAACCAGAAACATCGCCAGCATCATGTATAGACTACGGGGTCTCTTTCTGGCAGGATGTTTAAGCCAATGACTAGGAGATTATTATATGCCTGCAAAGAAATCTGAGAAAGAATACGCTGATAGAGAATGCGGAAACTATTATGAGCAACCGTTTTTACCTATACTCAGTATACCATGAGAACTTACGTACCAACAGATCAAGATAACGGTCATGATTACTAATGTCACTTCGTTTCTTATGACTCGTAGAAGCAAATTACAAGCTCAATAGTGAACTATCTGAACAGTGAACTATCCGAGCGCAAAACGTTCGGCTAAGTACACTAGATGTGTTAGTAAAGCGCATAATTTTCATATTAATTGTCGGCTGCTCTGAGCATGAATACTGCCTCGACACGATACAGTCAGTCAAGAAAGGAGTAGAACGTCGATAACGAGTACACAACTGGAATGCCGTGATGTCTGGATACGTTCAGACTAGAGATGACGACTTTTACGAAGGTGATTTTTTATGTGGACGTCTTACGGCTGTAATGAACCTTAACTAATCCCGTGCTTGAACTAATTAGCAAAAGGTGTGATTTATCAAGAGAGGACATGTGATTTCAGGAAGGTGTGAATCAGGAAATTGCGCGTTTGTGTCAGTTGAGACGCTTCATAAGTGTCTTTGAAAAGTAGTGGTGATTCCCTTACAGAAAAGGACTGTAACGAAAAAGACCAGCGTCTAAACGAATTTTGTCATTGTGACAAAAAATTGCACCAAGCATAACGATTATGAAGCAAATACGACAGTTCGCTAACACCATTTATGCTTCGAATGAAATGAAGCAACTAAATTTATTAAAGTCGTATTTTATTAAACATGTATGACTAAGAGAACTGCCAACAAGCATTCTGCCTTATGTGTTTGTTTGACTCAATTATACTCTTAGCGTGCGTAGCTAAAGGTTACTGAAGTCTTCTTCGTGTAACGTCTATATTTCAGATATATATGACAAGTTTGGCAGATTATTCGGTGTTGCTACAATCCGTTTGACGTGGCATTCATAACCAAAATAGCGAGATTCGGTCATGAGATCCACACAAGCAGACCACCAAGGTATAAAATAACTGATAAATAGCCGTGAACTTTTTACACTTCTAAATGGTAAGTTGGCTTGATTTACCTGCAACTTCAGCACTACCCGTTCAACATTTTTTTTCAAACGAGGTCTTATCAAATCAAGGTCGAACGCGTCGATTTGACTAGCAAATTTTTCCTCCACTTGCGTAATGAGCTACAATATAGAAAACATTTTTAAAACAAGAAGACACTAATCAAAATATGAACATATGGAAATAAAAGACTCGGTGCAACGACTTCCGTCCGTCGCACAGCAGCATCAGAGTAAAGTAGGAATATTTTGTGATGCAGTTGCTGTCATGTTGATGATCATCGTTAGCTGAAGACCGGCAGCTTAAGAGCTCCGTCTGTCCTAGATTAATAACGATCTACATATAGGAAGTCTTCGGATTACTTTAAACATTAAGCGCTTGAACAAACGACGTAATTACTGTCACAAGCAGATTATCTTCTAACATATTTCGCTAGCTTTTAACCTGCCCTGTTTTTCCTCTGTGCTCCGTGGCCAGCTCCTATTGGAGGGACATTTTTCCGACGTTTGAGTTACTTTATCGAACCAGGACATGCATCGGTCTCTTAATTCTTCAGAGATTTTCTCAAACTCAGTGGTTCTGAGTATGTGATCGTTCGTTACTCGATGATACTACCGGCATTAGAGGACTTTATCATGCTTCCGGATTAATAAATCGTATGTGGTGAGTACATTCATTTAGTTC